CCACCCACCAACCACCCATGATGGCAATACGGGTGCAGGAGGGCATGGGGTTCTGGGCCAGAGCAAGGGTGCAGTAATGGGCTCAGGGTGGGGAGTCTGGCTGGGAGGTTGGGTGAAGGAGTGGGCTGCGGGTTGGGGACTCTGGTCGGGAGGGAGGATGTTGGAGCAGGGTGGGGATGTGGGGTCTCGGTGGAAGGAGGGATGTGTGAGGAGACCCATGATGGCAATACGGGTGCAGGAGGGCATGGGGTTCTGGGCCAGAGCAAGGGTGCAGTAATGGGCTCAGGGTGGGGAGTCTGGCTGGGAGGTTGGGTGAAGGAGTGGGCTGCGGGTTGGGGACTCTGGTCGGGAGGGAGGATGTTGGAGCAGGGTGGGGATGTGGGGTCTCGGTGGAAGGAGGGATGTGTGAGGAGTGCGGGGCCTTGGCATGAGGGATATGTGGGGTGCTTCCCTGGCTTTGCGCCCCCCAGGAACCGCCCCCTTCCCTCACATTGGTCAGGATTTTGGCTACTGGGAGCAGCAGGGAAAGCCTCCAGGTGATCAGTTTCCTACACAGCTGTTCTCCCAACTGCGGGGTTGGGGGAGGGAGCAGCCATGCTCAGAGCTGCTTCCTCTTCCTGCAAGCCAAATCTGGGCCACGAGGCTCAGGGGTCCCCTCTCCTGCCGCAGTAGGGAGCCCACCCTGGCGCTCTAAACCTGTGGAGGGGGATGGGGCTGGAGTGCCAATGCGGGCTCCTGCTGCAGGGGGTGAGCCCACGGACCACCTGCAAAATGGTCATGGACCACTAGTGAGCCACAGAACACACTTTGAGAACCACTGCTCTACAATGACCTCTAGACCAGTGGTTCTTAAAGTGTGGTCCATAGGCTGCTAGTGGTCTGCAGCTGTCTTGCAGATGAGATCTCCCCTTCTTCTCCCCTGCTTCGCAGTGAGGAGCCTGCGATGGCATTCTACCCCCCGCCACTCACACACGCACACCAGCGCTGGCTTTCCACTGCGGGAGGTGTGGGGCATGTGAGCCTCACGGGACAGATCTGGCTTGTAGGGGAAGGAAGCAGCTCCCTCTCCCCCCAGTGGAATGGCAGCACAGGAAATCAGTCACCTGGAGGCTTTCCCCGCTGCTCCCATTGGCCGGAATCAAGGTCTATGGGAACTGCAGTGGGGGCAGAGCCTGGTAAGCACTCCCATCCCCTTATGCCCAAACTCTGCACTTCCACCCTGCTCCTGCACCACCCACCCAGACCCTCCATCCTCAGCCTGCTCCTGCACCCACCCTCCCACTCAGACCCCCATCTTCAGCCTGCTCCTGCACCCTCCCTCCCACTGATACTCTGCTCCTGCACCTCCCACCCAGACCCTCCCACCCTCAGCCTGATCCTGCACCCTACCTCAAAACCAGACCCCGCATCCTCACTCCTCCCTCCTGTACCCATTTTGTCATGATGGGAGTTTGGCTGGTGGACCACAGAAAGGTCTGTGTTGAGCAGGGTGGGCCGCAGGCCAAAAAGTTTGAGAACCCCTGCTCTAGATTATAATGCCTGTTATATTGTGCAGCAAAGGAGTAAGTAGCTTCCTCTACTCAATTTTTGCAATGCATAGGTCTCTGCAGGAACCGTTCTCACAAAACCTGTGCTTAGCTAAGGTGAATTAACTGATCTCTGACTAAGGGATCATAATCACTCATATGAAATCAACTTGAAGAATATGTTAGGATTTGAAAAGAAAGCACCACACAGGAACTATGCAGACATGAACGTAATTAAAACTGAATTAATAAAGATTTTCACTGACTTTAACTCATACATTTGTGATCCCACCTGCTGCTCCCTTTCCTTGTTGTTATTATTTTTGTTTTATAACAATGCTTTCCATCAAGAGAATCAGAAAACAGACCCATTAAAACACTGTCTTGTTGTGCAACTGTCACCAATATAAAATGTACCACAAATAGATGTTCCTGTTATTGAATAGAGCATTCATTTGTCAGAGTGGTTTTGCCTAAGTAACGTGGCAGTGGTATACGTTTGACTCTAAGGGTATGTCTAGACTACAAGCCTTTGGCAACAGAGGCATGTAGATTAGGCTACCCGCATAGGAAAACGAAGTGGCAATTTAAATAATTGCTGCTTCATTTAAATTTAAATGGCTGCCGCGCTTTGCTGATCAGCTGTTTGTCAGCTCAGCGCGGTAGTCTGGACGCTCTGCGGTCGACATCAAAGGCATTTGTCGACCTCCCCGGTATGCCTCATGGGATGAGGTTTACCGGGGAGGTCAACAAATGCCTTTTATGTCAACCGTGGAGCGTCCAGACTAGCACGATGAGCCAACAAACAGTTGATCGGCACAGCGCACCAGCCATTTAAATTTAAATTAAGTGGCGATTATTTAAATCGCTACTTCATTTTCCTATGCCCAGTAAACAAATCTACATGCACCCTAAAAGTGCAGCAATCTTCTTCTACATTTCTGTACTCTTCCAGCACCTTCTCTCTACATGTGTCCTTTTTCCAGCTCCCTCAAAGCCCCCAGATACTCTGTTGTCATTGTAGCATGCTCAGTTCTTCCAGGCCTTCAGGATTTCAAGTTAATGTTTACAACACAACGCAGTGACAACTCTGGGGGATTTCTAATGGAGACTAACATTTACCAACAAAAAATACAAGTGTTAGACAAAGGCCCTGGCCCTGATTGACTCCACATGGGCTAACCCTGTGCTCTTACACAGCTTTAAATAAGTAGGGGGGCTGTGCATATGCAGGTGTCTAGCTGTTGGAAGACAGTTGGAGTACTGGGATCAGATTGTGAGTCTGCTGCAGCCTCCAGCTACAGGCCCCTCCCTTTCACTCAACCTGAGGAGACTCACGGGTGTAGCTATGGAGGTCGGGGGTTCAGTCTGTGATATGTCAGCCACACAAGAAGCCCCATGTTAGTGTCTTCCCACCCCTCGAGACAAACTGGTTCCCTTGTGTCCATTACAAAATCCCTGACGATTCTTGGGAAAAGACACCACCAAATTCAAGCTCTTAGGGTGTGTCTAGACTACAGGGTTTTGTTGACAAAAGTGAACTGAATAATGAAGACTGTGACTAAATTCTCTCTTTAAAGTGTTGTTTCTCTCATGTGATCCTTGGTTAAAAAAACCCCACTCAGATTATCAGGGAAAAGTTATTCAGGCCTCAGTCCCAGCCTCAGATCCAGAGTTAACTGCAGGATCAGGATGTGTAGATCACTACACAGAGCAAACAGTGAAACTGGCTATCCACAAAATGCTGACAAATGCACAAAGCAAGCAAACTGAAAACATTAGGGAAACATTTTTGCCTTATTTTCAATTCTAGTAATTTTAGGATTTGCAGGTCACAATTGCAGGTAGCAAATTTATAGTCGTGTTCTGATTTTAAAATGGATAGGAAATCTTTGATTTTGCTCCAGTATTACACATGCCTAAACTCTACTAATTACCTCATCAAGTAGGTATAAAATATTGTTCCTTTTCCACAGTTGTTCCTTGTAGAATTCTGTATTTAAACATACTTTCAACTACTCGATTGCTTCCTCACATGACAGCCCCAAGTTCAGGCTTTCTGCTTCTGATGTAAAAAAGGGGCTAATGGTTCTGGAAATCCTCTTATGTGACGCCAAGGCTGTGTCTAGACTACATGCCTCTGTCGGCAGAGGCATGTAGATTAGGGCTGTAGGCAAAGGTAAATGAAGCCGCGATTTAAATGATCGCGGCTTCATTTACATTTACATGGCTGCCGCGCTGAGCTGACAAACAGCTGATCAGCTGTTTGTCGGCTCGCC